GAGTCTCATCATAGGGGTAGTTTGCCACAACGTCTCCACCATGGAGGTTGGCCGACAGCACAAAGGGGATGTCCATAATCCAGTGAATCACACCTTTAGTTTCTGGCGCAAGCTGCACAAGAAAAAGAGCATTTCAATATATTTGCTAAAAGTGTTCCAAAGCCAACTTATTATTGTGATAATCACTATAAAGTAGATTTTGGCTTTGCTTAGAACAGTATGAGAATGGGCCCTCCTTTCCTTTCACTGATCCTCTGTACAGTGGATCAATGGAGCTCATTCTGGGTTTTTACAATCTGAATGGAAATTGTTTAAGCTGACGCCACAAGCAGTTCTTGTTGGAGAAACAACAGCCTGCTAAGAGTCTAGTTAATGTAAACAGGGCTGAAAGAGTAGTTTAGTCCATTAGTACCCTAAAGGGTGCATTCTCTAGTGTTCAGGATTCATTGAATGTTTTCTCTTGCACTTCAGCCTACATCTTGTTGTTTCTCTCTCTGCTGTTGTGCTAGTAAGTGTTAGTGTATGTACTCTGAAGGCCTTTCTGCTGTATTAGTGGCCTGCAGTTGATTATTGTCTTTTTGCAAAATCCTGTTGCAGTAAAAGTCATTGGAAGCAAACACCAAAGTGTGGATTAGATTATTTCCCAAATTCTGCCAATGGTTGTCACACCACTTGCCACTTGGCTATCCGACTGTTAACAGTTTGAATAACTGAGTGTATTGGATGATCTTTTTTATTTTAGTTTATTATCTTGAGGGGAAGTTGGCCTAGGCATCCGTCCTTCTACCATTAGCTAGTGATGAATAGAAAAAAAGAGGGGGGGAAATAAATAAACAAATAGAAAAAGGGAGAAGGGAGAAAAAGGAATGGAAGTAAAAAGTACCCAGAAGAGAGGAAACAGAGACTTTCCTGCTAAGAGATAGTGTGTGTGTGTGTGTCCGCGCGCACATGTTGTACACACACACACAGTGAGGTTTGACCTTAAGGGTCTTTCTATTTATACAACAAATGTAGATTCAAATACAATAAAAATAATCAACATAAATAAATATAACAGAACCCACCTTCTAAGTGGGTGGCTTAGGTTTACCATTATTATCTACAGTGCATCATCCTTGGTTACAGAGCTTCCAGGTGGCAGTTGATATTCAGGCTACCGCACTGAAACAGCACAATCCATCTGGAGAGAAATCTCTTTGGGAGATTAATGTCAAAGCTCTGGTTTTGGGGGCTGTCAAAATACTGGCAAGCTGACTCTGTGGCTGAAGGGACATGACCCTTTCATATGGAGGGAACTGGTTATTTTGTAGCTCGCTCCAGCTGTGGAACATTTCACGATGTGAAAAGCGGACACATGGGAGCGAACTGCAGGTTCTATTGTGCTTTGACAAATCATGCATGCGTGAAACAATGCAGAGAGACACCGACTGGCAGCCATTACACTCTCAAAGGAATCCGTATGGAACAGGGAATGGTAGGAATCGTTTTAGACACAGTGTTTATTTACCAGTACTTCATAGGCTTCATAACAGATTTAACTTGGTGTTTTCATTGTGGGGTGGAATAGCGTACAATGGGGGGGGGGGGCTTCCTCAGGCGGTGTGACAATTTGCATCTGCAAAAGCGGATTGTGCTGTACTGTGCTGTTGGGAAGGAGCACAGCAACCCTTAGAATAGCCATGAATGGATTGTGAACTGCTGGACAGTGAGCTGAAAAACTGGCTGGCTGATCACGCCTAGCAATCAGGATGCAATCTGAACCAGCTGGTGTTTTTTTAAGTACAGATCTTGCTGCACACTCTTTAAAAGGGATGGCTGAGGGGTGACATGATCAAGGTTTATAAGGTTATGCATGGGATAGAGCAGGTCAAGAAAGAAGTACTTTTCTCCCTTTCTCACAATACAAGAGCTCGTGGGCACTCCATGAAATTGCTGAGCGGTTGGGTTAGAACAGATAAAAGGAAGTACTTCTTCACCCAAAGAGTGATTAACACATGGAATTCACTGCCACAGGAGGTGGCGGCAGCTACAAGCATGGACAGCTTCAAGAGGGAATTAGATAAGCATATGGCGCAGAAGTCCATCAGTGGCTATTAGCCACAAGGTATAGATGGGAACTCTCAGTCTGAGGCAAGTGATGCACTGTATTCTTGGTGCTTGGGGGGGGGGGACAGTGGGAGGCCTTCTAGTGTCCTTGCCCCACTGCTGGACCTTCTGATGGCCCCTGATATTTTTGGCCACTGTGTGACAGAGTGTTGGACTAGATGGGCCATTGGCCTGATCCAACTTCGGCTTCTCTTATGTTCTTATGACAGGGCAATAGGTGGCAAGGAGCTGCCTGCTGCAGGCTGCACAGAACAAAGGTTGGCAACAGGAGGAGGACCTAGGTGATGGGAAAAACCCTTCCCCTTTTGAGCTGATGTCATGGGGACAAGAGAGATCTGGGTAAAAGATGAAGCCGGGGGGGGAGCATGGATACTTAACACCCCAAAACATGACCTGAATGAGGCACAGGCATCAAAATGTTGATGGGAACACAGGTTTTCTTACCTTGGAGTTTTGATCCACAGCTTTCTTCAGGTTTTTCAGCAAGTGATTATTTGGGCCACCCTCTTTCTCATGCACATAGACTATTCGATCCAGATCAGGAAAATTTCTGTTCAGGTCTATTCCCTGTGCATTATTTCGGCCAACAAACCAGTCTTTGAGTTCACCAGGCTGGGGGGGGGGGGGGGGGGGGGAGGTTGCAGAAGGAATTTATCAGCATCCAAACCATCAGGAGAAAACAGCACATGTTATCACTTACCGAGCACAGTAAAGTGTCACGACAGTTGAGAGAAACAATCCGTTTAGCTCAGTACTGTATTATCCAACAGTGGCTTAAATGAAATTTAAAAGCAGGGGATGCTGGAGATATTTTCCAAATGTTTTTAATCCCCAGCGTCTGGGTCCTAGAGGCACACCAGATGTTATGAATGATTAACACATGTATATTCCTCCCTTGATGTCTCATTATTTGATAATTTCCACTTGATGTGTGAACTGTTTCCACCTGAAGTGTTGTTTGGATGATGGCCCATTTCTATTTGCAGTGATGGATCTGTGGGTGACTAATGTTATTACTTGATGCTAGAGTCAACAAATACTGAATGCTTATATGTGAACTGGCTCCTAATTTGAATACTGTGCAATCAGAACTGGTCTACACCAACAAACCTTTAAGCAGAGATTCAAATATTCTCTCTCATATACAAAATCAGATATTCCAGCTGCGTAAAAAGAGTGATTTAACATAAGACAAGCAGACTCATCTACTATTTGCCAATCAAAGGCTTAGCAGCAGTGTTGGCTCCCAGAATGAAAAACACAGGGCAAATAAGAAAAACCCTTTCTTTGAACTACTTCGAGTTTAAATGCAAGATACTTAAGATAAGGTTTCTTCAGGGCCACTCAAGGCCACTAGAGGGTGCTCCTGCATTGAACATTTCTATCTGACTGAAAGGCAATTGTAATTCCTTGGCTGTTCACTCAGTAATAAAATGAAGAAGACTGTTGTGTTTCACTTTAAACGAGTTACTTTAAAGTGACTCCTTAATTCTATGCACAGTATTTCCAGAAAGATGGAAATTTTGCAAAGTGATGTCATACATGTTTAGAATATTGACAATCACTTAGAGCCTTGACACAGAGAGTACTTTGACACAGCGAATACTCCATCTTTCTGTGTTATACCTCTGAGGATGCCAGTCACAGCTGCTGGCGAAATGTCAGGTCCTACAATGCCAAGACCATGGCCATACTGCCCAGAAAATCTATAACTAATCACTTAGAGAATATTAACAAGCATCTAGCAGGCTTCACAGTGACTAATACCCATTTTATATACATGTGCAGTACAGTAGCTACTAAAACACAGTATTGCATGAGCTCCTTTGCATGTGTAAAGCTATGGGTCAGAGAAAATTATCTGTAGGCACATGATTCTGTTACACAGTAAAGCTAAAGGGTGACAGATAGGGGAGAACATCTGAGAACTCCAAGAGGGCCAAACTACTTCATGTTTTTTTAAGAGCTGGGTACAGGTTCTTATATGGTTACTGCCTACATACCTGGGATGCCGCCTTCTCAAAACCATCTGGATTCAAGGATGGCATTATGTGGATGCGCGTACTGTGGATCAAGTTGATGATAGTTTCATTTCCCTTCTGATATTCATTGCACAGGTACTGAGCCAAGAAAATGAGAAGCTCCCTTCCAACAGCTTCATTTCCATGCATGTTCCCGACATATTTGAATTCTGGCTCTCCTAAAACACAATGGGATATGAGATATCAGATGCACAGAGATTCAAGAACAGATCTCCAAATCCAGAATGAGTTTCTCAGACAAGAGAGTTTATCGTACGATCAGATCATACAACATGTAACGGATCATAAAGACCTTGGCTGAAATACAACTGGAGTTCTGCACTCTGGGCTACAGTGTCCTCTGTGCCTTGACCCTTTCATGGGCAAGCCCCGGCTGCTGCCTCTGTTTCCCCCACCAAGCCCAGCCACTCTTGCCCAGCCGCACTGGCTGCACTCACCCTCAGTGTGGAGTCCTCCGCAGGCACAGGCCAGTGAGGGCGAGGCCCGGGAAGCACACAGAAAGGCGCTCCAGCCCTGCCTGTCACTGTGCAGCGGCCTCAACGAGCAGGTGAAGGGGTTGGACGGTGACAGTGGATGCCAGAGCAGTGGGGAAGCGAGACATGCCCAGGGGCAGCTGTGCTTGGATGGAACAGAGCGCCAAAGCAGCCGTGGCCAGGCAGAGAGCATGAGCTATCAGCAGCCCGGAGGCAATGGGGGACAAGCATGGTGGGCAGAAGTGGGTAAAGGGAGGTCGTGCAGGACCCAGAGCTGGAAGGAGCAGCAAAAGGCAGTGCCAGAAGGGAAGGGTTGGCAGCAACCGAGAGCGGCACGCCCGGAACCAGCCAGGGCTCCCTCTGCCTCCTGGGGAAGGGGGCAGGGCACATTCATGAAGGGGCGTCACCCCCCCAGGGCCTGCCCCCACTCCTCAGCATTCACATGGGGAAGGTGGGAAAAGGTGTAGGATGATGAAACCTAAATATTTTAGTCATGTGTAAGAAGAGAGATCTGTATCCACCTATATTTGAGTTGAATGAGAATGGTATAATATGGGAACATGAAAAGTAATAATTAAAACTGTTGTTATAATATTTGTTTAATCTTAGAACAACTGGTCTGTTTATAAAACTAAGAAACAGTTTCTCTTTAATCTATGAATCTATGAATTCTGCTCAGCTTCAGGGGTAACCCAGTTACAGTATTGTAAAAAGTCCTATAATAAATCGGTTAACCTGCAATTCTGCCAGTGTGAACAAATTCAAAAGTCATTAAGAACCAGAGACATACAGTTCACCACACACCTACGCCTGGAAGTCCATTCATGAATGTCCTAATTATGATGAGATGGGTCCATTATGAATTAACAGAAGTCATCACTTAACTGACCACAGCTCAGAATGTATTTGGAAGGTTTGCGCTGGCAAGCAAAATGGCTAAAACAGGAGGTGGGTCCTTGCTTGACAGAAATACACAAGCGTGCACACATGCACAAGGATATGAAGTTGAAAACAAGTTGAAAACAGAAGTCTCAAAAGGTCATGAAATGCAGGGTAAGACATAATTAAAATACCCCACCTTCACTTGGCTCACCGCCCCCTTCTATTGTATGTGAATGACTGACATGGTGTTATTGTCCTTTACTTGGGGAGGTTTTAGGAGGGTGTTGTTCAAGCTTAGTTACTTCTGTATAGAAGAATCTCTATCAACTACACTAAGACAAAGATCTTTGGGGGGAAACTCTGAAAATTCTAGTGGTCTGTTGACATTACCCCTATTGATCAGCGTAGGAACTTCAAATACCTTGGAATTACCTTCTGTGAAACACTCTCCAGGAAGTCCCATTTGGCCATTGTAAAATCCACAGCTCTTTGGACACCAGGGGCCATTTTAAAATTCTACCATGCCAAAGGAAGCTTTTGATTGATCCTGCCTTGAAATTATATCAGAGCAAGGCCATAAACCAACTTCTATATGGAGCAGAAATTTGGGACTGGAATGATATATTAATCAATAACTTGGAGACTGTTCAACATCTTTTTTAAAAAATTCTAGTTCCGCCTAAGGGCACACCAGCTACTCTGATGCAGGCCGAACTTGTCCTTCCTCCAGTAAAGCCTTCGGTACATGTTGCTTTACTCAATTTTTGGTGCAAGTAGATGAAGGCCCAGCCTCCCATCTCTCAAGGCAATGTTTTACCCTTATCCAGAATGATACTACCTGTGTCACTAGATATAACAGTATTCTTAATCAATATTCTTAGTTGACTGCCAGGGGGCTCCCTAGGTTAGCTCCATACTCCCTGAATGGAGCCTTGGTAGATAGGCATATAACACTTGGCTCCAAATACTCTCCTTGGTATAAATTGCTCAAAGTGGATCACAACAAAGTCTGTTACCCATCTAACATCACATTTTACAATCTGAGATCAGCCTTTACAGCATTCACTTTCAAACCATGCAATCTGCCATGTTAACAGAACGTTACTCTTGAAAACAGGTCACTCAGTGTATTTATGTTTGTGATACATTAGAGGCTATGTTCTGCATTGTCCTCTATATTGGGAACCCAGATATAAATTTCTGGTGGCCATTTTAGCCAACATGACTAAAATGCACAGCTGAGGAGAAAATAACATTCCTTCTTGTGGATTTAGACCTATATGTTACACACATGGAAGTGGCCCCTCCGATGGTCGTGGCCCCGCCCCCAGCGTGCTCGGCGTCCTAACGTCACTGCTGGGTGACGCGCACATCAGGGTGGGGTTCCCCCGGGGCCCGATACGCCCGTGGCGGGGAACGGGCCTCTGGGGCGGGGATTTCCCCACCCCCCAGGGGGACTTGGCAGCCCTATTGTCTTATGGCTGGCATCTTATCTTGATTATTGTTTTTATCCTTCCTTTTGGAATCTATATTTTATTTAGAGCAATTTTGCAATGGCCTTTGGCCACATGCAATAAAATTTACTACTATCAAAATATAAACGTAATCAAGAAATGTACCGACCATTTACGGTTACAGGGAACATTTCTAAGTACCTTTGTAGGCATAGTCATACCTTTACCTTTACATAGTCATACATCAGACTCATTTCAAGCAAAAGTGCAGTTAAGTTCCACCCATGATGAAAACTACTAAACTTGTTTTTAGAACATCAAGCTATAGTGGAAATGCTCTCTAAGGTATTTCATATTACCCACTATTTGATCATTTATTAACTAGAGATGCTGGAGACTGAACCAAGGACCTTCTGTATCCAAAGCCCAAGAATACAGAATAACAATAAAATTAAACAACAGGACCTCATAACAAAATAACACAGAGGCTACTGAAAAGCTAACTTTCAACTGAATAAGCATGAGTTACTAATTACATTTACACTTTCAGCTATTATATATATCACAGCTAAAATGTTTTAGTTAAATAAGAAAAATAGTACTAAAATAGGTACTAAACATAATAAGGTATGCGTGAGAAACCCAAAGGAAAGTTTTAAAGAGAACCTGTGCATTAGAATTTGTGGCCAACATATTCTGACAGGCACATAATGGAAAGGAAATAAGAAACTAAAAGAGACTGTGGGGTAGACAGCCCAAGATGAGTAAGTTCTTTTAATTTTGTCTGTAAGTTTATTAATCAAAACCACAAACATTCTGAGAAAAACACCCATGACGTTTCTTCTTGCAGAAATGAAAGTTCTAACACTATCCACACAGGACCTCTGGAATGTCTTCAAAAATTAACTTTATCATTCAAATACCATTCTGGGTGTCTGTCTAGTGGCGATCGCATCAATCGCAGGTACAATTTAATGAATGTTTCAGTTTGATCTAAGCTTCATTTTAGTGCTAAAAACAGTTTCTACCAAAAATTATGGCAGGTGTACAAAATACAGTTATTTTTTTTCCTCCCAGACTTCGAGTGTCCTTCTGGCCTAACCATTGTTAACCCAGAAAGGTCTTTCTAAAATGGCTTCTATAATCCAACACACTTCCCTAAATATGTTTCACTAAATGACTCTGAAGGTGCGTTTTCCAAACTCAGAAATGCAGCTGCCGCTCAAAGTTACTTATGGTGATAAAGAATAAAAAACATGGTAATTCAGCCCAAATTCCCTTGAACAAAACAGTGGAAACTAGAATGTATATTCTTTGCTTATTATTTTTGTGATATTAGATCCATTAGTTGAAACTAAGGACACTGGTGAGGCAAAAGAGCTCACCCATGTGATATTGCGGTCGCACTGTGCGGTATCTCCACTGGACTGCCACCCCTGCAAAGCAGCAACACTTGCCACATAGCTACTTCGTACGGGTAGGAGTGCAAAATCACATGCGTGAACTCTTCCACCTTGCTACTGTCACATTTAAATCAGACCTACAGCTTATTTTTCAATGTGTCAGACACCCCCTCCTGAGGGCTGGAGTCTGGGGTGGCGCACCCTCCAGACTCTTCATTTCTTTAGCACACCCTACACACATCTCAACACAGGGGAGGAGGCGGGGTTACAACATTCTTAGTCCTCTCTCCCTAGCCTTTGGTCCACCCTCTGACTGCTTACATATGGCTAGGCCTGCCCTCCCACTGCCTTACGGTTGTGCCTCATAAAGGCCTGTTCCATCTTGCTACTGTCACATTTAAATCAGACCTACAGCTTATTTTTCAATGTGTCAGACACCCCCTCCTGAGGGCTGGAGTCTGGGGTGGCGCACCCTCCAGTCTCTTCATTTCTTTAGCACACCCTACACACATCTCAACACAGGGGAGGAGGCGGGGTTACAACATTCTTAGTCCTCTCTCCCCAGCCTCTGGTCCACCCTCTGACTGCTTACGTATGGCTAGGCCTGCCCTCCCACTGCCTTGGGGTTGTGCCTCATAAAGGCCCATCGTGTGCGCTCTTTCGGAGCCCCCCCCCCCGAGGTCTGGGGAGGCCCCGCTTGGCACTCCTGGGGGGAGGCCAAGGGCATGAGGCTTGACTGGCCCCCCGTTTCCCTGGCGAGGACGGGGGGTGACCGGTTTGCCCCGAAGCAGGAGCGTCAGCGAGAATGGAAACATGGCTGCCATGTTTCCGCTCAGCAGCGACCAGCCGTGTTTTTAAACCTCCTTCTTTATGGTAATAGTAAGTTCTATTTTTCTACACGATTAAGCCACCCCGAGAGACATTGCACAACTTTATTAAACCGAAA